CTTAGAATGCCTAATTTTGGTTTGATTGCTTGTGTTACATGAGAAAATAAATAATTTTTGCCTACCTGATGTAATAGATTTAATGCGGGTGCGGCTCGTGACACGCAGTCTTTGTCAAACGGATCTGGTCTGGTACAAAATTAAATTAGTGCTGCTGTTGGATAACGGGTCAAGTGTTCTGTTAGTTTTTCAATAGCTGTTGTTAGTTTCGTTTCGTTTTAGTTTTTCAATTATTTTGTCATTTTTATTTTATTTCAGTTTACGAAATTGTTTTTTCATCAATCGTTTTCGTCTTAGTTTTAGTTTTCGTTTACGAAAATAACCTTGGTTAGCATCATAGTTATTGTCTTTGGTGCGAACAGGCCTTTACTAACGTTACTCCTGTGGGTGAATTTTCCTCCAAGTAAACGATGCCTTTCTGGTATCCATGCATGTATGATGAAATACAGGATATAACTTTTATATATATGACATGACCCTGAGTTATCAGGGTGCAATTTGGTTTGCTTCTGATTCAAAGGGCCGATTCAAAATGTGAGTCACAGATGCTGTTGTCAGACCTTAATCAGTCTTGAAGCCAGAACATTCCTGTAACGCTCACCATACTGTAGAACTGCATCTCTCTGGGTCCTCTTGGGGGAGGCTGCAGCTGTTTTAGGACCGTACCATCAGGATGTTGCAAGATACCTGTGATTAGAAAAAAAAAAAAAACATCTCATATTCATTACCGTTATGATCACAGTGCAAATGCCAAACAATAAGCACACGCTAACATTTTCGAAATAGGCATTGATTTATACAGATGAATAACTGCTTATATCCATTGAGTTAATTGAAGGACTGTGAATAGGCCCTTTTGAAGCTGATGTGAGAGGAAATCACAGCAGTGTGTGTAATGACATCGCAGGCTGGCCTATATGCTGCTGAGAACTAGGCTGGCAGGGCTTAGAGATTACGGTCATAGACTGTGACGCTCTGGATTTAGGTCAGGCTCCCCCTCTTTAAAAACAGCTATTTTAAAATCTATTCACATCATTAGTAAACAAAAGGAAACACGACCAGGATTAATTTATGACAACAAACATGATCAACCACAAGTAATTTGCTACCACAGACACTATTTAAATAAAGCCTTTATTTAAATGATTATACATCTCTTTTACCTGAAGCAATTCTTCCAGTGACTCACAGTACATCTAATTTATACATTTACATGCTATTGGCTACACCCTAAAGAAAACAATAAATTACTAATACACAAAGCCTGTTTTAGCACCATTACAATTATTTATTTTTTTTGCATTGTAATAACACTATCATGACAATTAAAACATTGCCCTCTTATTGCAATGCATCTGGATGGTTTATTTTTCAGTTTGTTTGTTATTTTATAATCTTGAATGATTATGCTCATTCATAAAAAAAATGTCACATTTATTATGAAAAAAAAATGTTTATGAGGATCAAATTAAATAATGGAATAAAATAAAAAAATTAATAAAAATACAGTAATAAAAATAATTCAGTCCACACACCTTTTTATTCAAATAAGCACAAATTACAACAAACACAAGTGTGCATCATGTATAGGGCTGTGCAATATATCGAAATATCGCAAATGTACATATCGCAATATGCATATCGCTACAGCTTGCAATATTTGGGGCCATGAACAAAAGAAGAAAAATCACAATCAGAATCAGAATGAGCTTTATTCACCACTTAAGTGTGCGCAACCACAAGGAATTTGTTGTGGTTTTACAAGAACTATGAGTTATCGCATATCCCATTTTTCTTCAATATCGCATAGCCCTAATCATGTATAAAAATATATATATATATTAATTTTTAATTATAATTAAGGTTTTTTTTTTTTTGAAGTTATGGTAATACACTTAAATACTGCCACAATGCAGAAAAAAAAAACGAATAGTCCTAAAAATAGACAGTTATGGAAAATAACATTTTGTGTGGCCCAAACAAATGTGTGACAGGCTCTGTGAGGTTCACCCAAAAAGAATGTTGCAGTAATAAAGAACTAGTGAACGCAAATGTAAGTCAAATCTTTCCTGCGTTTAACCACATTGGTCAAATTCTGTTTAAAATGGCGTTACCACTGACTCACTATATGGCTCATACATCTATAGCTGTTTTCGCATGTCAGGAGACAAATCTGAGTCAGCAACAAAACCTATCAGCCCATTCAACTGTTTCCATTAAATGTAGCGGCATCAGGATAATTACTAATCAGAGATCAGGGCTAGTTGTCACATGAGCTATGTCAGTAACATTTAAAGTCAACTCTAAATACACAATTACTCGTTTTCACAGTAGTTTTATGATTGTTTCAAGCATTTTTATAAATTAAATTCCTCAATACTAAAATATATTTGAAAATCTAATATGAATAGCTGTTGTGTAAAAAAGCCATACATTCAGGTAAAGCTCAACAGTAAAACAAAAACAGATTTTTAACTGAAACGGTTTTGTTTGTCTATTAATTTTTTATGCAATGTTAGCATCGGGGCTATTTACATGGCAAACACAAGGTCAGCGCCATAATCCAGAAAACTTTATAACATAAAATTACATAAAACAAAAAATCTCAAATTCATTCAGGTGATACATTACAGAATATTCCACTTAAACATGTTTCTGAATAAAAACGTTTTCAGGCATTATTACAACAATTACAGTCCACTGAAACCGTGTTGTCAGGATGAGAGTATTTACTTTTCCCCCCGTAAATTCCCATTATATTCGAGCTATCCTGCATTTTTATTCATTTCATTTATTTTTTTGTAGGAATTTTCATAAAATTCTGCAATCACAATATTTGTTGGCCAAAACAACAGTTTGACATTTTAAATGCTACATTACACATTTAAATGTTTTCATGTATAAAGTAGCATTTATATTTTTCATTTTACATAGGCTACATTTTTGCTTTTTCATTCATAATGTTGATAATGCTTCATAATTGTTTTACTGTGTAAATTTCACTGAAAAAACATACAAAAGGTTGTTTGATATATAATGTAGCATTTATATTTTTAATTTGACATTATTTCTAAATGGTACATTGTAATTTTTTTCTTAATAGTTTTCTGCTTCATAATTATTTTACGGTTTCATTTGAACTAAAAAGCATATGAAAGGTCGTTTAATGACAAGTCCCACTGTGACAACTTACCCCAGACAGTGTGACGGACAGCATGTAAGTTAGTCACAAAAGATCAGCCGCATCTTGTTTCGTAGATAAAAACGGTAGTATTTAATGGACAGCTTTATAACTTACAGAGAAAACTTTAAAGTATACGCATATGCTGTATAAAAACTGGCCCTGAGAAATGTTCACTGAGGTAAAAATTGTGACGGCTAGCCCCGTACACAATTATAAATGACAGAATCCTGGTTCAAATGAATAGGAATGACATTAAATGTCTACTGACCCACTTTATCAACGCCGTACTTGTGTCCGGCCACCTGATGAGAGAGCGGCACGCAGCCGTTCAGGTGAGCGCTCTGCGCGCCCTCAGGTAAACACGAGCCGCGGGTCATTAACGGACGCGCGAGCTCCAGCCTTCCCAGCGCCACAGACGAGTCCATTATGATGCTGAGCTGACACTCACACCTAAGACTTCACTGCAACGGCTCGTTGTTTCTCTAAACTACTGTCCTCCACGCTCGAATTCACATATTGAACGCACGCCCTCGACGCGTCATCCTGATGTGTGTGACCGATCGCGTGCCATCAGTCACGGCGCCCACGCTCGCGACCATATAACGAGCTTTTCACCTGGGCCACATCCCACTTCCTGACTTCAGAGATGTTTACACTCCTCCCGCGGTAATTGGTACGAGATGGTAGTTAAGGAACGAGCGGAGCACAAAGATCGACACGGTATTCTTGCGGAGTAAGTCATATCGCACGGAAACACGCAGTTCTTCTGCGAACGCTTCGCTGTTTGTTTCCGCCCCGAGAGACACGCTGCGTGTGACGTCACGACGCACAGCGAGCGGAAACGTCGAGCTATTTTTTTTACGCACAGCGAGCGGAAACGTCGAGCTATTTTTTTTTTAATTATTATTATTTCTCATGAAACGTCTACATTGGGTATCATTTCCGAAATGTAAAAAGATTAGGAGAAAAAACATGAACTCTAACAGTGAAAATATTTCTATGAATGGCAGGCTCGCCTCTAAATACTTCCGGGTAGGTGTAATCTACGGATACGATAAAAGTCTGTTTATTGCTGAACGTTCAGTTATTGTGACTAATGGGAACCCTGATATAAACTAACTACTAAGCAAACATCGAGATGGAAAATGTTTTACATAATTATATGATTTGTGTTCTCAGACTACTGAGCAATTAAGAAAATCCCTCAGGCATAATTTGTGTAATCCTACTGGGAATATCGTTGTAATTATGGATATATCAGGAACTGTTTACAAACAGCAGCCATATATATAGCTAAATATTACTTCAATACCTAAGGGGATATATAAATTAGCCTTTAATTATGTCTTTTGTTTACTGTTTAGGTTCTCATGGACACAGAAAATGTTTCAGAAAGCAACAGCACAAATTAAAATCTTTGATTAGGAAGGAAGAATAAAGCAATTGCGTTTCAGAGGGATACATGATATGCTAAATGAATTTTGAAATCAGAGACACTTGCAAGACTGCATCGGATCTAGTGGAAAATCAAGGCTTTTTGTTGAACTGATGGCAATTTATACTCAAAGCTGGTTTAAAATGCATTTCAACAAAGCAAATAAAAACACTATTGTGTACCAATATGAGCAAACGCACCTTAACATATGAGAAACACAGATGCACGCTTTTAAACAAATTTTAATGCAAAATAAAAAAGAAAAATATAGATCCAGTATAGTTGCTCTTAACTATACAATAAAAATATCTAAAAGAAAATGTAATCAACTGAATGAGAGATGCATTAAAATGGTTTTCAATTTCTTAATTTCCCTTGTGTAGGGTAACTGCAGTTGTATAACGTCATGCCAATCTTAAATAGGATTTATGAAACAAGAAAACAAAGTGCCCAACACCACTGCGGGGAATGATCAAAATACACAAAACCAATAAAAAGCTTAATGTCTTTTTGTGCAGCGCACAGTCCCCTTCAAAATACTAGTTCAGCTATTATTATTGGTCATTTCAGATGGTAAATGTTAACAGTACAATGTGTTTAATAATATATCCTAATCTTACTTTTAGATGCTAGAATTTACAGTGATTTGTGACTTTAAAAAATGTCCATTAAGTCTTCACATTGCATACTTCTGGGTCCATTCTCTTGCTAGTCTGTTGTACCTGGTACAAGAAAATCAAAAATCAATAAGTTCATAAACAGTCTAGTTTGCCTAACCATATTCCAATCTAACGTAACACGTATGGTCTATGTTACTCGCACTCGTGATGTTCCAAACCTGTTTAAATGTACACAAAAGGGTGAATTCCTGAAGAATAACCCGGTGATTCTTGTCAATATGATGAAAGTGAAAATACTGTAGTCAGTGCAATTAATTAAAGTGCTCTGAAGTCATATGACAGCTCTGTGTAGGAATAAACCACAATTTGAGCAACTGTTTGATATAAATCTTGATATCTGCCCTAGCTCTGCTTCATGCATTCATAAGCACAGTAGCGACATCCAAGATGTAAACAAGGTGTATACTTTGCATTGGATATTTTCAATGAATCGAAGAATCAAGTTCACAAAACTGGTCTGAATTCATTCATGAATTGTACTGATCTGATTCACAAATTCACTCAATGGGTGCTACTCAATTCTCAAATAGGTGCATCCTCGTTTCTTCGCTCTTCCATCCTTCAGCCCATGACCTGGAAATCGATCTGAGTCAGCCATCTTGAAGGACATGTCAATTCTCTAATTGCACCAGGAGTAGGCAAGGAACGAAAAGTGAGGGATCTTCCAGCGGAGCGTGAATACACAGTGTGTCTTGACGAAAACCCTGACACTCGTATAAATTCTCCAACCCTTCACATTAGTCACAATTTTGATTTACGTTTCACCTTTGCAGTACATTTCACATACTCAAATAATATGTAGGACTAAATATATGCCTTTGAATTGCACGTCAAATTTCCATCAATTTGAATTGCACGGTTTTAAAACAAATGTAAAGTAATGCATATCCATCATCAAACAGACAAGAAACAGCTTAGACTTTTGGAATAGTACTAATAAACTAAACGTGTTTAAATACACAGTAATGGGGATGTAACGATTCACTCAACTCACGATTCCATTCAATTCACGATTTTGATTTCACGATTCGATCACATATTTGAATCGATTTTCAACTGGCTCGCGGTTAATCGTTACATCCCTACGCCAGTAATCAAGTTTATATAAATGAATAAATAAATAAATACAATTTGTTCCACAGCTAGCCGTATTTAAAATATGTTCATACTTTTCAAATGAATACATTTGTTTTTACAATGATTTATGTTGATTCTAAGCAATCAGCATCAATACATTTTGAAAATGATCATTTTATGATTTAGATCAAATCAAATAGATGCAAATATTTGATACTATGCCATGTTTTTTTGTTTTTTTTGAGTGCAGTTTCTTACCCATTTAATTTATGCATGACTGACAAACATGCACCACATTCAGTTTATTAGTTTGTTAAAACAGTGTAATCCAAATGTTATATGCAATTTAAAATACATAAATCTTAAATTTAGGCTTAAATATTTTCTGAGTGAATTTCAACTAGCGATCTTGTTTTACTATGAATTTCTTTAATAACCAAACCTCAAAATCATAAGGGATTCCTTGAGTGCAGTTGGTGATGCTTTAAATTAAAGTGGTGTTTAAATGATCAGGAATATTCCAATATACAAATAATTTCTTTTGATTCCTCTATCCTCATTTTTCCTTGCATCCTTTCCTCACATTCTAGTTGGGAGGAGCTAGGGTGCAAGGAAATGAAACGAGGATGCACAATTTAATGAGCACCACCCAATGATCTGAACACACTGGAGGAGAATATTATCAGTGAATAACAACTTAAATTTTGGCCGTTTACACACAGAGCTACTGTAGGATTTCAGGAGCCTTGAAATACAGCACACAAATATTCAGCACTTGACTTGAGCACTTTTTCAATACTTTTGTGGTGCTTTAGTTTCCCTTTGATACATGTTTTCATTGTTGTATGGGTTTGGAACAACATGAGGGAAACAAATTAAGACTTCTTTTTTAAAACATTATACTTACTTTTCTTTGTCTGATTTGTAGATGTGTGCTATGTCTGGGACTAAGGGGTCATCAGGATTTGGATCACAAAGCAAAGAACATATGGACAAAAGAACTGAAAAAGAGATGAAAACAAATCACAATCATGAAAGCATAGGCAAACTGGGTATTACAAATTATATAGTTCAACTATTAAAAAATAAAGAATTAAAACACACACACAAGTACCTTTTGAAACCGTTAGAGCTGGAGACCACTGCGACCTCAGGATGTCCAGGCAAATACTTCCATTACTGTTAATGTTGGGATGGTAGATTTTTGTTGTGAACGCAACCTGTTAAATTGAGATGGGTGTCAAAATGCCATTTTAAGACAACACGGCAAGTACACGGAGGTGGGGTGTAGCGTCACTACCTTTGGCGGCTTGAAGGGATAGTCTGTTGGAAAGTGAATTGTGAGAAAGAAGACCCCTCCTTGGTATGGACTGTCACTCTGCAAATCAAAGGAAATGACACTAGAAATTAGCAAACTGTGTAGGTGTATTAAAATAGGTTACATACATCTCAGATCTAATTATTTTTAAAATGGACTTCACATCATCACATTCAGCATGTGTTATTAAGCGAAGCAAACTGCTAAAGGCTAATGAGGTAAGTACTTACAGGTCCCATTATTGTTGCCTGCCAGTGAAACACTAAAAATAAAAGAAGAGGCTTATTGAAATTCGTCTTAGATGTTATTATGTAAAGCAACTCAAAAAGACTGACAGTGAACTTACAGTCATCACCAACCGGTCCAGCAGAGCACTGGGCAGGAGGGTCCCTCTGCAAGTCTTGAAGCTCCTGAAACAGAAGAAGAAATTAAGGCTTGTTCACACCGGGACGAATATCGCGCGCGATTATCGCCGACGTTTAACGCCTCGTGACTAAACAAAGGGCGCCAATGTGAGTGTGCACACCGACGCGCAAAACGCAAGGCGTAAAAGCGTCATTTTTTAAAAAACGCCTCGGGCTCATTTTTTTGGTTTAACGCGCCGTGTTAAAAACTGGCCGACCAATGAGATTGGCGCTTTTCTTCACGTGCCTGGAGCTGCTGAAGTTACAGTAAAACACGACTTGGTGGCGCTCAAGCACAAAACGGTCTTGCCGAGCACACATTGATACCTAACGACGAAGAGGAAGTAGACGAAGAAGAAACATCGAGGCAAGATGAATGTAGAGCTGCTGGTCTCATTGGTGTCTGAACACAAAGGGCTTTATGACAAACGCGACAGCGACTACAAAAATCTTGATAAGAGGGAGTTGTTATGGAGAGGAATTGCAGATCAAATAGGATTCAATGGGTATTTGTGTTTTTCATTAAGCGCCATCTAATGTCAGGGAGTGAATTTGCACGTTCACTCGGCTCATCGCCTGCGAAAATTGCTTGGGTATGAACACAAAAGACGCGGCGATAAGCGCACGCGATAATCGTCCCGGTGTGTTCAAGGCTTTAGGATGACATTATTACTCCACAATTATGTTTCTAAATATATTTATATAGCCATTCTAATGTTAAGTGGCATATGTGGAAAAACTCTTTTTCTAATTTCAGTTTTCAACTCATTTCAATCCTCAAGGCCATTTTGAAAAAATAAATAAATAAATAAAAAAACTTTAAAAGACTTCCGGTGTCAAGATGGCTGTTAGGGGATGAATGAAGTCAGTTCTCCTCAAGTTCACACATGTGTCTTAGCAGAGAAACCACAGGTGTAGTTTATTAAAATAAAAGCCACCTGGCTTGATATTTTGTTGTTTAATAAACTTACATTCATTAAGTTAGGCTTCAAATAAATCCAAATTGGGTTTGAATAAATTATTACAGGGCTCTAAATTGTCAACAAAAGTGCTTTAAATAAATTATATAATTTAGTTTAACAACATCATAAAGCCTATAAATAACATATTATTAGTTAGTAAGAGAAATTATATTTTTAACCCCGATATTCGATATAAACAACGCTAACGCTAGCAGGTTAAAAAAAAAAAAAAAACTTGGCTAATGTTGGTCATGTACGCACAAAGGTCTTACCTTCTGTATTCTCTTTAATGCCATGCTGCTTTACTGTGTGTACCGCCCCAGATTTACGCGATTATATTATGTGTCCGATATTATTGCTACGAAACAGCTCAGCAATACTGTGTTTCCCTGAGTAAAACGAACGTGAGCGGCGAGGAGAGACAGCTGTAGCACAGCAAGCTCACTCTTCCGGTGCGGAGCTGGGGAAAACAAAATAAAAGTCATTAGGTCTCATTTGCAAGAGCATTATCGCATCAAGTTCAAGACATTGATGCAGGAATATAGAACAGTCACAGGCTCAGCACCCGCCTACTTTGGATAAAAGCGTCTGCAAAATGACTAAATGTAAATGTAAATGTAAATAAGCTTTTAAATAACCAATTGCCTTCCACAGTGGTTTAAAGTTTTTTTTTTTTTTTTATGTAAAATCTTTATTCTTATTAAGTATTAATGTAAGAATAACTTTCATAATGTTAATAATATTTTAGTTTCATTGCTGGACTGAAGCAACTTAAATTTACTTTATTATGTATCTACTTTTTTATGAAGAAAAATCATATTAAAATGTAAGTATCAAATATGACACATCAGGCTTTCGGTGAATGTTTGTTTGTACATCTCTCAATCATCACTGCATTATAAACAATTAAATTATATTAAAACTATGTGCAACTGATATTTATATGCATTTTATGTAAATAGCCTAATACTGTTCTCATTGATCTATGAGAATTACTTGCTTTTTGGCCACATAAATTACAGCAGCAGCATATTTTGGCTCCGTTCGGGTCCTTTTTTCTCTGACTTTTATTTTGGTTATATGTCAGGCTTCAAAGGGTTAAAGCGTTTACGTACACCACGCTTTACCAAATATAACTGAATAACACAATAATACAGCGCTTCCCGCGAAAATAATAAACGAATATAATTAAATTGGTAAACATTGCGATTTCCCAAACGTTCTTTAAGTACAGGTGCATCTATACAATTTTAAACGAATAATTCTCCCATAATGCACTTCGTTTAGATGTCAGACGGAATGGCGCCTTTACCGGAGGAGGCGGAACTGTAATTCACGACCATAACATTCATTTCAAGACAGCTATTGTGTATCTTGTTCTCACCGTGCATATTAAATATTTGATTCCTTTAATCGGGGAGATCACAGCACGTGTATGATGGCTCCGTTCAGTTTGATGTCAGTCGGTGCTAATCTTTTGGTAAAGTCTTTGGGTTTGTTCTCGAGTGCATCTGTTGTGAGGTGAGCGTGCTTCAAGTTTAAGGTTATTGATGCATGACTTGTTTATTAGTTAATGTAACGTTATCATATCTAATGAATTTTATTTTAGCAACATATTTAAACGCAGCTATACATTCATATTTTCACATTTTAACAGCCATATGGTCAGGTAATGTAAGATATATAGTGACAACGCTGCACTCGCTCAATAGCTAAAGTTATAATTTAACTTTTTTGTAAGGTGTAAAAAAAACTTTTCTTTTTTTTTTTTTACGAATAATTATTCTGTAACATCCATGCCAATTTTTGTACAGTGACAGTTATTTGCAAATTTTAGGTGTTCATGTGTAGCTCCAGTGTTAAAGAGTTTTAGCACCACAACAGGGGGTCCACCTAAGAGACCCCTGACAGCATACATGACATATGTGAAAGAGATGCATCCCACCATCAGCAGACAAAATCCAGGTATCCGCTTCAGTCGCAAAACTACCTTGCATTTCTGATTTGTTTTGAAACAAGATAATGAACAATCTGTTTTGTTCAGGAATCAAAAATGTGGATATTGTCCGAAAGTTAGCAGAGCAGTGGAAAATGCTGACTCTTGAACAGAAGCAGGTAAATTCTTGCTTCATGTATGTGTGTGTTCATATGTTTTAGTTTATTTTGAGTAAATGTGCAAAATTTCTGCCTAAAATAAAATGTGTACATCTCCATTTCTGTACATTGTATATGTATACATTCATACATACATACATGCATCCAGGGAGCAATATAAGGTTGCTGTGGACAACAGACTGCTGCTTTTGCAATAGAAAAACACCAATCAATATTTATAGGGAATTTTTACCTAGGGCTGTGTATTGACAGATTTCACAGATCTAGTTATTTAAATTTGGTTATAAATCATGTACAGAAAGTGTACATTTTTCTAAAGGAAAAAATCTGTCACAACTAACACTGTAAACTACACAGGGAACCCAATCAGCTGGGACTTTAATAATGTTAGTTTAAAATTATTAAATTGAATTGCTATTTATTTTTAGATATAACACTTGTATAACTGTTGTATACAGTGATGTAAATTTTACACAAGGTTTTTATATGTGACCCTGGACCACAAAACCAGTCATAAGGGTCAGTTTTTCGAAAATGAGATTTATACATCACATGAAAGCTGAATAAATAAGCTTTCCATTGATGTGTGGTCTGTTAGGATAGAACAATATTTGGTCGAGATACAACTATTTGAATATCTGGAATCTGAGGGTGCAAAAAAATCTAAATATTGAGAAAATCGCCTTTAAAGTTGTCCAAATTAAGTTCTTAGCAATGCATATTACTAAACAAAAATTAAGTTTTCATATATTTACAGTAGGAAATTTACAGAATATCTTCATGGAACATGATCTTTACTTAATATCCTAATGATTTTTGGCATAAAAGAAAAATCAATAATTTTGACCCATAAAATGTATTGTTGGCTATTGCTACAAATATACCCCAGCGACTTAAGACTGGTTTTGTGCTCCAGGGTCACATATCATGTTTTTAATGATATAATTATTTTTTTTTATTTTATTTTAGTTTTATAATTTTATTTTTGGGTGGACCACTGCTCTTTAGTTATTGCTATTGACATTGGCCATTGAAAAATTCCTGTCATCCACTAATTTGAGCTATTTCACATCCCTATATCGCAGCCATTTCAGGATGCATCTTCAGCATCCAGGGAGCAATATAAGCTTGTTCTGGAGAAATACAAAGCCCAACTGACTCCTGCACAAACTGCTGCTCTTGCAGTAGAGAAACGACAAAAAGTGGCCAAAAGAAAAGCAATTAGGAGAAAGAAGGTGAGTTTTGCCTTCCATTATGTAACTACTATACTAACCCACCAATGAGACACTTTACACTGACTAAATATTATTTCATTTCTTCTTCAGAAATTAAGTATTTTGATTACCTTTATAGTAAAGGAATAGTATACTTCACTTGTAGGAGCTGAACAGTCTTGGCAAGCCCAAACGTCCCAGGAGCGCCTTCAACATCTTCATGTCGGAGCACTTTGAGGAGGCAAAAGGAACTAATATGCAGGTGAAAATGGACTTTAGTTCTTCATATTCAAGATTCAGATTTTATACAGTATGCAAAAATGTCTGCATCTAAAATATAGCTAACTGTAGTGTATTTTGTATAAATAATTTCAATTATTTGTTTTTGTATCTGGTGTAATAATGTATTTGAAGTTCACAGTTTAACCAAAGATATTACAGACCATTAAAGGGTTAGTTCACCCAAAAATTATGAAACATGGATATTTTTCTTACAAAAACGCATCGATTCGCTACAGGAGGCGCTTTTTATTTCACTTCTTTTGGACTGAAGCAATGCAACACCCGCTGACTGCAATGATAGAGCTTGAAAGATCAAAAACAATTTTTAATATAACTCAGACTGGATTCGTCTGAAAGAAGAAAGTCATATACACCTAGGATGCCTCGGGGTTGAGTAAAACGCAGCCTAATTTTCATTTTTGGGTGAACTAACCCTTTAAAACTAAACATTTGTGTAATATGCAATTGAAGTATTTAACACAATATTTATTGGTTGCAACAAGTGGGTTAACTTGAATGTCTTTTTTTTTCTTTCCAGACGAAGATGAAGTCTCTGAGAGACGACTGGGAGCGTTTCAATGCAACACAGAAACAAGTGAGTTTTGCCTTGAGCATCAAAAGTAGCTCACACTACGGCTCTGTTCCATCATCCTGTGAGCTGCCTGCTGTCTCCACCTCATAAACTGGCTGATTTAAAAACACTACGAGCAGTATCTCTGTGAATCATATAAATAATAGCACTTACAATTAGTTATGCCACGGGGAGGAAATTTTTTTTATCGAATGTCGATATTACACCTCATATTTTACAAGAAAATATTTGCTAGTGATGCTCAGGATTGCATCACAGGATTTAACAGTAGGTCTTTACATCTTTCCCTTTCTTTCAACAAAATGAATGCTTGAAAATGGTGGGTTCATTATTATTCTTAATGAAAAACACAACAACAATAAAACAGTACATTGACAAACTCGCTTACATTAAACAGAGAACAAGATACGGAGCCCTGCACGTCATACAGACAAATATATATTTATTAGGGTAGCAAATTAAGAATTCATTCTTACGACTATTCATTTCATCGTTTTATTAAATTGTGTTCATGTACTAATTCATTCCCTCAACTTTGATTTAACATCAATCACTACAAGATGGTCACGATTTAATAAACTGAGCAAACAAACTGTTTGGTGTTTGTCAAGTAATGTCATTTGTGTATGGCCGAACACCGCTACCTAATCAATTCTAATCAGTTGAGATAGTGTATTGGTGGGTTTTTGTTAAATGTGAGCCAAAATCATCACAATTAAAAGAACCAAAGACTTAAACTACTTCAGTCTGTGTGCATTGAATTTATTTAATACACGAGTTTCACAATTTGAGTTGAATTACTGAAATAAATGAACTTTTCCACGACATTCTAATTTATTGAGATGCACCTGTAAATATAAAAAAATACAAAATTATAAAGCAATTGAAAGCTTGCTATGTTTTGCAACAGATCCTTTATCTGACTTGTGTCACTGTTGTAGATGTACATTCAGCTGGCAGAGGATGACAAAGTCCGTTACAAGAACGAAATAAAATCGTGGGAGGAGCATATGATAGAGATCGGAAGGGAAGACCTTGTTCGGAGAAAGGAGAGGAGAGCCATCAAAGCCAAAACCACTAAAGACATAAAGAAGAAATCCAAAGTAAGAGTGCTAAAGGCAAAAGCACCAAAAAAGAAGACTGGAACAGCAGTGAAAAAGACTGTGGAGAGCACTAAGAAGTGAAATGATGTATGTGACTCTGTTAGACAGAGCGTGTTGTACAAAGGCCAGTACCGTCCTCAATAAAAAGCCTGTGCTTTCCGTTACTAGAGCTGCATTTATAGTGCTCAAAGCATGAAGGTTTTAAAACTGTGAAGAGTCCTTCATGACGTCTCATCCCTTTTTGCTGGTTTCATTTACTCAATAGTTTAGGTCCTGATTATGACTGTTTTTATAGTACTTGTATTGCTTTTAAGCTACTCAAGAACTCTGTTTCTTGACTGGCTATGAAACGTAAGACTGACATCAGTTTCCATTTGCTTCTTAGAATGAGTTTGTGTATCATGCTTTAAAAGAGGATGCCATGGTTTGTATAATGTCTTTACTTACAAAATAAACATTAACCTTTTCTATAAAAGCAACAGGAGCTATTTACAAAAGAATGCTACACAACTTCATCAAAACGTTTAAAATTTCATAAGTGTGCTAAGGTTAGAGATATAATACAACCCAAAGTGAAAAATGAGTCATTTACTCGACCTCACACTCCAAGTCTGTATGACCTTCTTCATCCTGTATAAAACAAATTCAGATATTTTAAAGAATGTCTGAGCTGCTCTTTTCCTCAATCACCAAATGGGCAAATTAACATATAATTACATTATATGGAGGGAAAACGAAATTTCTCTCTTATAACATGAAAAGTGAGTACATGACAATTTTCATTTTTAGGTGAACTATCCCTTTAAATACAAATCAAGTGGCCTCAGGTTTAGGCTGAATATTATCTTATAATGCAATTGTCAACTCAGGGCATGAAACCTCACATTTTTTTACATTTAAGAACAGTTATTTACAATGTAGTTTCAAATATTCTTAATTTTCATTTTTAGGTGAACTATCCCTTTAAATACAAATCAAGTGGCCTCAGGTTTAGGCTGAATATTATCTTATAATGCAATTGTCAACTCAGGGCATGAAACCTCACATTTTTTTTACATTTAAGAACAGTTATTTACAATATAGTTTTAAATATTCTCGTGGGATAAAATCAGGACTTTGAAGCCGAGCTGGGATCAGATGGCAGTTTGGCTTCTTGCAGCAAAGTCTCAAAATCAGGTGAACACACCAGTTTGTGTGTGATGTTTCCAAGCACAGTAATGTCTCCGGTCAGGCCCTCCGACATCCGCACACAGACTAGTTGCTGCAGATACAAAAATGATTATATCCCATGAAACAAACTTCTTGTAAATGAGATCTACAGTCCATTTGTTTCTTCATCGGAATAGATTTAGAAAAATGCAGCATTACGTCACTTGCTCACCAAAGGATCCTCTGCAGTGAATGGGTGCCGTCAAGATGCAGTCAGTCCAAACAGCTGAAAAATATCACAATAATCCGAAAGTAATCAACAAGACTCCAGTCCATCAATTAATGTCTTGTGAAGTGAAAAGCTGCGTATTTCTAAAAATAAAACCCATCATTAAGACATTTTAACTCACATCTGGCCAAAATAAAAATGATTTAAATTTAATAAAAAAAAACAAACAATGGATTTATTACAAACAGTTTTTCACTTCACAAGACATTAATTGACGGACTGGAGTGGTGTGAATTGCTTGTGGATTATTGTGATGTTTTTATCAGCTTTTTGGACTCTCAATCTGACAGCACCCATTCACTGCAGAGACTGGTAAGCAAATGATGTAATTATTATCTGTAATAATAATTATTATAGTAATAATTATCTGATACAGATAATAGCTCATCTACATCTTGGATGACCTGACGGTGTGTACATTTTCAACAAATTTTCAGTTTTGGGTGAACTATTACTTAATAACAAATAAAACATATCCAGTTAACTTCAATATTGGGCTGTGCAAAAATATACATACCAGAATGCTACCATAAAGCCCAAATCCCTCTGACTGACTTACTTTCTTCCATGAAACACAAAAGGGGTTTTATAATTGCATTGTTTAAAAAGGCTGCAAAAACAACAAAATGCATCATAAAAGTGGTCCATATGACCACTTGTGTTATATAGTTGTATGACAACCTTTATGATACATGCTTTTTGACATTTTGGAGATTGGCAGGACCAGTTGTCATTTATTCTATTATATGTTAAAGTTGAAAAAGGTGGGGGGGGGAATAGCAATCAAATAATCTGTTATAAACATGCTGAAACTAGATGAAAGCTGACAAGAGAAGAATAAAAGAAAAATTTAAGGGGGTCTGAATACTTTCCGTACCCACTGTATTCTTGCATTATGATTCCATTTTCCATTATGATTTTTTAAAATTAATATAAACTTGTCATACAGATATTTTTGGTTGTGTCTGTTTTTTATTCTGATATGTTTGCACAACTGATACTTTTCTTTGTCATTTTGCTACATGGCATCTATTAAAAATGACAACGTGTTAACTGTAGGAAAGAGAAGGCCGCTCCCTCTGAGACTTCTAATGTAACATTTCCCAAGACCAGCTGAACTTTACCAGACTTTCTCATTTGCAGTTTTCCAATCAGACCCTCTGAGAAGTCTGACAGCACAGGTACAGCGGCTTTATCAGGCTGATCCTGAAGAATGATATCACAACAGCATTAAAATCCTTCAGAGGACACTGTAGATGATATTAAATGTTTATAAACGAATGTGGTTGGCTTTCAAATGCTCATTTCATGAGGAAATAAACTCCTTGATCTTTTTAAATAAGAGTACTATAAAATCATACTATAAAATTCGGCAGCAAAAACAACTTGTGTAACGTACAGTAGCAAAAAAAAAAACCCGTTTAATAATAATGAAAAGTTAAATATTCACCCTTGAGGTCTTTGCACACTGAGTCCGAAATTCTCATCTGAAATTTTCGCATGTTAAAAAATAAATACGACCTCACGTCGTGTCAATCACGTTTACACACTGCCTCCGAAACTAGGGATGCACGATATTATCGGACCGATATTGGAATTGGCCGATAATGGCTTAAAATGTAAATATTGGCATCGGTCCGATATGAAAAATTATGCCTATATGTCTTGCCGATAAGAGGATTAACTCACGTGCTCAGGGTGTCCTAGCAATTAATCAAGTCAGCAGTGTGGTCATTCTTGAAGCAAACGTTTGCCTTAATGATGATTAGATTCACTGTTTTGTATCACTGCATTTAATTTGAGAATACATGTACAAGATGATGCGTTCTAATGCCTGTCCAGTAAGACGTTGTATTTACATAGGGGGCGCTGTTGGCCTACTTGTAACAAAATGAAAGTATCCGAAACTAGGGATGCACGATATTATCGGACCGATATTGGAATTGGCCGATAATGGCTTAAAATGTAAATATTGGCATCGGCCTGATATGAAAAATTATGCCGATATGTCTTGCCGATAAGAGGATTAACTCACATGTGCTCAGGGTGTCCTAGCAATTAATCAAGTCAGCAGTGTGGTCAATCTTGAAGCAAATGTTTGCCTTGATGATTAGATTCACTGTTTTGGATCACTGCATTTAATTTGAGAATACATGTACAAGATGATTGATGCGTTCTAATGCCAGTCCAGTAAGGCATTGTATTTACATAGGGGGCGCTGTTGGCCTACTTGTAACAAAATGAAAGTAAAATACACAAATATCACTAAGAAACTTGTGTTTTTGAATAAATAAAGCAGTATCAATGTCATAAAATCATGAGTATGTTATATTTTAATGCAAAGGTCAGAAGCTATAGCTTTTGTGATAAAAAAAAATCACAAACATGACGCTTGTAAATTAAATCATTTTATATATACAGATTTATTCATTAATGTGTAATATGTTTGTTTTTTTAAAAGAACCACGAGCTCTAAAACATTTTGAAAATTTATACAATTCTTGCCTTAGACCATCTACAAATGTTAAATCTTAAAATAATATTTTAAGGTTACCACTGGCATCTTTCTGAAAAATATATATATAAAAAATTGCAGCGATTGATATATAGCTGATTTATAATTATTTTCAAAGCTTTCAATGTACTGTCATTATAAAAGAACTTCATTATTATTTAATTCGAACAAATTAAAAATAATTATATTTCAAATTTCCACACAGGAGAGACTTGGTGTTGTTTCCAAACAAAAAGAAATATATCGGTATCGGCTATCGGCCAAAATGAGTTGAAAAATATCGGCATATCGGATATCGTCAAAATTCCAATATCGTGCATCCCTATCCGAAACATTCGTCCGTCATAAAAAAATTCGGATCAGGTTCGATTTTCTGCGTTTTCGCATCCGTAGCAAGCATTTTGATAGGAAAGGATGACGAATACGAAAAAACGCATACAAAAATTTTGGACTCGGTGTGCAAGGACCTTTAGGGTAAAAAAAAGATATATCACAATACAGTAAATATATGATATTTTTAAGGCATAGTATGGAATATAAACTTACCAGAGCTTTAATTTTTGATGAGCGCTTATCTTGAGTCTTGCCTTCCTTTCTGGGTTTCTCTGGGCTCGGGGGTTTAGGTTGACCAGGTATGGTATCAGGAAGTTGAATAAACAGTAGTTCTTCCTTATCCGAAACAGTCAGCTGTTGGAACAGTTCTCCAACCGTTGGCTGCTGCGGACATGAAGACGTGCCCCTCACTGGCACAGGGTATTTCTGCTCAGCTTTGGCTGATTTCAGTGCATTATCAGATGCTGTCTCTTCTATAACTGCAAAAATGCCTTGGATTTAGTTACTTGTTTAATGTAAACAGAACAAAAACTAGCAACAAAACAAGCTAAATAAAAATTACTGTTAGCATAAACTGTAACTTACATGAACTAGCTGCATCTGTTGACAGGAAGTTGCATGACTGATAGAGTGGAAGTCTGATTGGTCTTTGCTTGGGATCATTATTTAATCCAGGATGATCCAAAAACTGCTCAATTAAACCAGGAAAAGCATTAAAATGCTACTAATTAACTTTGAAGACTTTGTGAAATTTGTCACATGATAAAGGGTCATTGAGACGTACATCATCTTTTTTGTATGTTGGAATTAAATCACTGAAGGTCAGAAGCAAAGACAGTGAAAATAAAAAATGAATGTGTGTGTGTGTGTGTGTGTGTGTGTGTGTTTAGGATGAGGTATAAAATACTTACTCATCTTTAGTTTTGCGAACAGAGTGAACATTTGGTACAAAGGTTTTCTGTAGGGGGAAAAATAATAAATTGAATATGCAAAATTTAAACTATATTATTGCACAGCTCTATATATAATGTTGGATATATAAGTATACACTGTGCAACCATGCATCAATGGAAAGCTTATTTATTCAGCTTTCAGATGATGCATAAATCTAAATTTCAAAAAATTGACCATTATTACTGGTTTTGTGGTCCAGGGTGACATACAGCAAATTTCAACTGCTTGATTGTTTGTATTGTCGCAAAATGTAAACTACTGTATATTACCGTAAAGCTCTCTATTAAAATTTATAAATATATACAACTTTATTTGTGTTCATACAGTAAAGCACTACTACACAGAAAATCTCAACTGCTTGATTATTTGTATTGTCGCAAAATCTAAACTACTGTATATTACCGTAAAGCTCTCTATTAAAATGTATAAATATATACAACTTTATTTGTGTTCATACAGTAAAGCACTACTATACAGAAAATCTCAACTGCTTGATTGTTTGTATTGTCGCAAAATGTAAACTACTGTATATTACCGTAAAGCTCTCTATTAAAATGTATAAATACATACAACTTTATTTGTGTTCATACAGTACAGCACTACTATACAGAAAATCTCAACTGCTTGATTGTTTATATCTTAACATGTTAGCTATTATTATCTGTCAGACAGCCTATATTATACTGTAAACATTACCATTAAATCGATTTTATTTTCTATAAAGCTGTGTTATTTTCAAACACAATTGCTGCGCGCTCACTGAGATTACAGTTCAAGAAGCGCGCGGCTCCATTTTGTTAGCAACCTAAGCTATCAAAACAGACTTTAAAGGGGTCATATGCTGTTTGCATAAAGATCATTATTTTGTGTATTTGGTGTAACAGAATACACCTTTGTTAATGAACATTTATTAGTTTTTGTTCTTAAATATCTACATAAACTTCATTTTTTTAAATTTGTTTTAGTTATTTTAGTACATAAAGTCAAACTAAACGAAAATGAGATACGTTGCCTGAACAACTAGCTGAATTTATATTTATATATATATATATATATATATATATATTCTATACTTATCTTACTTGGTCTTATGTGGTTTCTTGTATGGTGTCATAATTTAAATAAGTCTTATTAGACTGTAAATTGTATTTTATAACTACTGTTTATTATAACGAATGTAATAAACTATATTATGTTATGTTATTTTATATCATATTATATATTTATATTATATTGTTTATATTTGTTGTTATTTTATCATGAAATAATTTTAATGCATTTACATTATAAAATTACATAGTATTTAAAACATAATAGTGTGTATACACACACATACTCACTGTCTTATTATTAAATATTTATTATTAATAATTGTATTAATATTAATACTATTATAAATATTATATTATTTATAATATTAATACTATTATAAATCACCACTCATCAGATAAATAATGCTTGAGTAATTCTGTGTTCTCATGGTACAACTTTAAAAAAAAAAACTTCGCCAGTATTAGGCTACAATAATAGGAAGTTTCTATTATAATAAAAATACAAATATAACGATAATAACCAAACATGAACATAAAAACGTTAAAATGTAAAAGTGAAAAAAAAATAGTTATATAAATAAATATAAAATTTAAAACAAAGCATAACGTATTTGTAAACAGTGGCATGAAGTATTTGTAAACAGTACCCTTACAGTGTCTCCTCCAAAGAGAAAGGAAAACTTGAAATCGCATCATATGACCCCTTTAATACCAGTTTATGCCGTTTGCACCATCGGATTTGGAAATGCGTGGAATGATGATGGAAATACGGCTGTCTTAAATACATATAACTGAAATTAAAGACCGTACGTACTTGAAATTGAAGTAATTGATGTTAAATTCCTCCAGCTGACAGCTGCCTACATCCTTGCAGAAGCATCATGGGTCACGTGATCCGGATTTACCAAAAAAGTCACAAAATAATGTTATATTATATTATATTATATTATTATACTGCATACAGACTATATTGTAAAAAATACAAATATGTTAGTCTATATTTATCTAATATGGTCTTATATTGTGTCATATTTTCTTACTATTAAACTGTAAACTATTTTATAACTACTATATTATTTATATTATATTACATATTTAAATATTATTTATATTATATTAATAAACTGTTGTTATTTTATCAAATGAATAAATAATTTATACTTATAATGTACTTTATACAATAATTTATAGCATTTATATTGTAAAATATTAATAGATTTATTTTATATGTATATATTATGGCATCATAATTGTCTCAATATTAAACTGTAGGCCTATTTTAAAACTACTGTTTATTATAACCAATTTAACCAATTATATTATATTATTGTTTTATATACTAATGTTATTTTATCACATTGATATAAAATTACATAGTATTTAAAACATAATAGTGTGTATACACACACATACTCACTGTCTTATTATTAAATATTTATTATTAATAATTGTATTAATATTAATACTATTATAAATATTATATTATTTATAATATTAATACTATTATAAATCACCACTCATCAGATAAATAATGCTTGAGTAATTCTGTGTTCTCATGGTGCAACTTAAAAAAAAAAACTTCGCCAGTATTAGGCTACAATAATAGGAAGTTTCTATTATAATAAAAATACAAATATAACGATAATAACCAAACATGAACATAAAAACGTTAAAATGTAAAAGTGAAAAAAAAATAGTTATATAAATAAATATAAAATTTAAAACAAAGCATAACGTATTTGTAAACAGTGGCATGAAGTATTTGTAAACAGTACCCTTACAGTGTCTCAAAACTCAAAACGTGAGCTGCTTATCTAGACATAGACTCGCAAATTTGGGGGCATCATATGCTGACTCCTAACGGGCCAAAAATGGTGTTTAGAAGACAGCTCACTAAGTTTTGTGACAGACCCCTTCCATCCACCCTTCCTCTGGCTCATACTGAACAAAGGGCGGCGCTCTGCTTTAGCCTGCCCTCACTTTATAGTCCTCCGGTCAATGTAACGTCAAGTCACACAGAGCCCGTGGCCGCGATGACTGGCGCTCGCTCTCCGCGGGAATGATCTGATCTGACGGCTGCGGAGAGTCAGCGGTGCTCTGTGAAGTCATGGCCGCTCAGTGTGAACCCTTAAGCGGATACTTACAGCAGTCCGATCCGGGCTCCAACAGCGAGCGCAGCGCGGATTCCCCTCTGCCCGTGTCTGAGGATGACTCCAGCGGACCCACGGCGCCTCCGGACCCCGAGTGGACCGAGGAGAGGTTTCGAGTGGACCGGAAAAAACTGGAGATCATGCTATTAGGTAAAACTGTTGTTTCCATGACAACTATCACCAATTTTAGAGAGTTTAAAGAGTTTGAAAGAAACAAACAAACACTCTGCAAGTAAAACTCAGAGTTTACTTCTCAAAATGCACAATTGCTGTTAATCATTGTTATATTTAACTGAACAAACACTGTAATGCATTGCTTCCAGCATCTGCAGATCCAGTTATGTTTCTCTTTTCCTTTGTTCACCTCCTGTGTGATTCTCGCTTCCATGCCAATTTTTTTTATATATTTTTTTAGAAACATTAGTTTAAATAAAAAGTAGGCTCTAACGAAAATTATATGAAATAATCCAGCGGACCAGACTTAGAAAAGCCAGTAGTTGAGGCTCCATTGTTCAGTTTACATACATAGCTTCCAATTGTTTTGAAGAAAGTTTGTATAGTTTGGAAATGGATATAACTATCTGTCATTTAAACATATTTAAGGATTGATTGTTCAAATTATTGGTTGTATAGTTTTTTTCAGATTTTTAATGTACGCCTGGAAAATAACTACCTTTTCCACCACATTATTGAATATATGCTTTTTATTTCGTTTTTCTGATATTCAGCTGTTTAGTGTAAAATCCCAATTTTGTTTTGATGTAAGAAAGAGAACTGTACTGTATTCTTTCACAGTATGTGTGTAGTGACCAACTCAACCAATAGGGGGCAGTGTTAACGCATCTCTGCTTTTGACATTAGCCTTGAATGTTGTGTTTTCCTCAATTTGTTGAAGTAATTTTAAAACAAGCGACACTGTGATCAGCTGCTTCAGAAGAGTGGAAGATGAAGTTAAATTACATTTTTGGACAATGAGTTATCACATTTTTGGCTTATGATTCTGACTGCATGTGGGTTTCACTTAGTAGAGTTAGGACTGAGCAAAGAAAATGTTGTATTGGTTTAAAGGGGTCATATGATGCGATTTTCCTTTCTCTTTGGAGTGTTACAAGCTGATTGTGCATCGATAAGATCCCTGAAGTTGCAAAGACTAAAGTCTCAAAACCAAAGAGATATTCTTTATCAAACTTAAGACTCTGCCACGCCCCCCTAAAACGGAAGGAGGGGGCTTTGTAGAAAACGAAGCGTTTGAGAGAGGCGGGGCATAGAGGACCTACAATAATGTACAGTATTTGAAAAATAATGTGTTTTTTGAACATTAAAGCATGTCAACATATTCTGTTACACCAAATACACAAAATAATGATCTTTAAAAAAGCATCATATGACCCCTTTAAAGTAGAGACACAAATCATTTATAAATGCCACTTTTTAATCTGTTGTCGTTTTGTTTTTCAACTAGTGAATTTATCAAGCAGTTGATACAAATCGACAAGGACTTCTCATTCTCCCGGCTCTGTAGGGATGGTAAAACGCTTTGAAGCTCTCAGCTTTAATACTTTGTCCATGTCGGGTCATGCTTTCCATGTTGTTTCATGGCTCTGAGTTGACTTCAGAAAGGGACATCATCGTCATCATCCTACACTCACAAAGTCTCTAAGTTCAGTTCACCACAGCAATCCTTCCTGCTGAGGTCATTCAGCATCTCCTCGGTTTTAGAGTATATTTGATCAACCTGCTTGCTGAAGGAATGCTATTAGGATTGGGATTTTCCTAGAAGACGCACAGAGAAGCTTGTGTAAATTATGAGATATATTTTCCAAACGAAATGATAGGAATTCAGCATTACTCAATTCGATATAAGATCAGTAAAAACTAGAATTACAAACATGACCTTGTGTTACATATCCAAACCAACCATTCTATGATCCATAGAAGTAGAAAGCACTTTTATTGTGAGATATTATAAAAATATAAAAAATATATTTTAGTTTTTCTTTGAATAGACATTCTATTATGTCATATTGTACAATTTCGTCAATGGATGCATACTTAATTGGCAGCTGTTACAAGATTGTGTTGTTGTTGTCGTTGTTTTAAAGAAGGACTCAAAAGTTGTTAATCATAAGAGCAATTTTCACATATTTTAAAGTTGCAGGTGACTGGAGAGAACTGCTCACCGTCTTGTTTTCAGAAATGTTAACATCACAGGCGTTCGCTCCAAAAGCACTTAGTCCATCAGATATAACAAGAACACGTAAGCAACATTCAAGACTGCGTTTATGAAGCTTATTATACCTCTTGGATGGGAACAACTATTAATCACTTCATTTTATAACTATTTTAGCTGGCTCATGTTGAGGAATGGCTCACTGTCATTATGGAATTCTCTAAAATCAGTAATGAATCACATAAAGGAGGCCTGAAATTGTTTTCTGTTCCAGATGTGTATTAATTATTAAATTTGTGTAGATTATGTCGAGAAGGAATGTGTGAATTGTGAGCTGTGTCTGTTTAATCTTATGTTCACCGCACCAGTGTCAAAATTATATACATGCTTATGTTCCTGAGGATCAGCACCCATATAATGCAATATACAGTCTGTTGAAAATCTAGTGAGCTGCCTACATATAAGCAGCATTTCAATGCATCATAATTTCCCAGTGTGGTCACCATAATTATTAGAAATGCATGAATATATATATATACATATATATATATATATATATATATATATACTGTATATCAAAAGCAAAAAAGGCCTCTAGCTTGCTCTATTATTTTTCTATTCTATCTGTTTTCTTTTTATACAATTAACAAAAAGCAAGCAAAAAAGGCCTCTAACACTAGCTTGCTCTATTCTTTTTCTATTCTATCTGTTTTCTTTTTATTTATTATATGATAAAAAAAAAAAATCATAAGTAAGTTAAGCTAACTGAGACTTGTTATAGCACTTGCATATCATTGCTCTTTTGTTGATTTTGATTGCTTCCATTGTCCTCATTTGTAAGTCGCTTTGGATAAAAGTGTCTGCTAAATGTAAATGTATATGCATATTACATTCAATATTTAATTATGCATGATCATTTCTCAAATATGTATATTTTAATTGCCTTCTAAAGCTCACAAGTTAATCATTAAACACATCAATTCTTTTTAGTTTTTGTTTGGTATGGGACAGAATTTTAGAATTGGTGCATACTGCATACATAATAATTTTTTTGTTGCATTTTAGGATGCAAGTTTCTGTTGGCTGATGATGCAAGAAAGTTATTTTTTTCATTATAGATCCATTAATATTAATAATATATAAATCAATTAGTCATTGGTAAAGATAAATAGTAGCTACAACTGAACTAATTCCTTCTTTATACAAAAGATTTTTTGGCTTATTCTTGTAACATCCTGCTTTATTTACTCTGAGACCAAATGGCAAAGAGACTCATGGAAACAAGCGAGATGGATTCAGAGTTGGGAGCAGTCAACCCAATTGTTCACGCTATACTGTAGGAAAGCAGTGGTGACGCTGAAAGCCCTCTTCATGGGTCAAGATAAGTGTTTAGCAGTCACTGACTGCGTATTTTGGAGATAGTTTATTATTACAATTTCTTGACTTTGTAGATAGAGTTTGCTCAATAAAGGAGTAGTTCTCTCTGTCCAGTCTACATCAAGGACTTTGGGTTTTTCCAAATTTCCAAAGCTCAGATTGTTTTGCATTACGTGTCTTAGATGGGATGGAAACGGTTTCTCTTCCCAAACCTTGGCTAGAGATTTGCTTAAGTACCCTTGCAAAAGAAATTCCCAAACAAGTTTACATGACAGCTCACAGAGTCAACGTCTTTGATCAGTGTAAGTCAGACTCGGGCACCGAAGTGAACTAGCAGTCTGTTTGAGAGTCCAAACAGGAAGGGATCAAATGCCTTGTTTAACAAGCATAACTCTTATCACAGATGGGACTGATCCATTCTGGGGAGCCCAAATAAAACATTGTTGCTGCCTGGTGATTTTGTAAAACACTTCAGTTTTTATAGCGTGTTTATAATGTGGGAATTTTAGGTCAACTGTTTCACCAAGACATTAGCTTTTGGGTTTGGCTTTAGAGTTATTTTTCCCATTTTAAAGACTTCTGTTTACTAGGATTATCATTTATTTACTATGTATCCTTGCTTACTAAATTCCTAGTAAACTGAGACATTAAAATGGCCTTCTATTTATGGAAATACAAAGAGTACATTCTGAAACTGCTTGTGTGTTGTGTACTTTGGCTAGCTGTGTTCTGGATATGTTTGTGCGCGTGCTTGGCTCAGGCCTGGTTAAAAAGTTCATCTTTTTGTTGTCTGTTGGATGAAAGTATAGAGACAGGAAGTGAGTCCTGTGAGGAATGTGCTTGGGGCTAACTGTCCTCTGGATGGAGGCCTAGGGAAACACTGTTCTCTTTAGCTTTCAGAGGGTAAACGTGGCATTTCCCCCAAGAGAACTACTACTGAGGTCAATCGCTTGTGGCCTTGATCTTGAGTTCATAGCGGTATGGCATTTTAAGCACATCGGACAGACAAAGCAACTCAGCTGGCACGTAGCAAGCCTAATACAATGCAAAAGGCCAATAAATGTTGGAAAGAATGGAAATCAGTCTGTAAAAGGTGGTTGAATCAAGTATATTGGGACCATTCAGGAAACCCTGGCTTGTGTTGTTCAGGTCTGAGAGACCCTTGAGAGGTGGTGGGCCGAAGAGTCCCAGTGCTCACAGCGTATAATTCACTGCAGCTGTTGGAGAGTCTCTGTTTTAAAAAAATGCTGGCGTGGACCAGAGACTTTGTTATGACAAGGAAAAGAACGAGCCATTACACTACAGCTACTAACTCAACTCATCTGAGTCGAAAACTACTATGTGGTACATCTTGGATTGTCACATTTTGTTTATAGGCATGCCTGTTATATTGCAGAGACAAAACATTATTTTATGCATTGGCATTGGCATTATATACAAAAATAATCAGTAATTACATTTCCTAGTTTGTGTTTAGGTGATCCTCTCAGTTCATTTAAAACAATTTTGTAGAATCCACCCAAGAGTTTCTCGGCAGAATGAGTAATGGCATTGGCATTTTAATACACATATTGTGCTTAAAAATCGCACAGTTTAAGGCGTA